TGTTACAACCTCAGAGGTTTATTTATATTTGAAATGGTTAAAGAAAGAACCAATGTGAAGTCCAGATGTGTTTCAGTTCAGGGTGTTAAGCTTTGGAATGGACTAAATTATCAATTTAAACTGTGCATTTCGTTAGCTGAATTTAGAATAATGATTAAGCAGAAAACGTATAAAATGGGGTTTTCAGTTTGTAAGTAACAAAAATGTTGATTGAAAATGTTATCTGAAAATTTATTTAATTTTGTGATGTGCTGATTCAGTAGCAGTTACGTGGTTACATGGACGTAGTCACGCCTATCTCCGCCGTTCTAATTAAAGGGCCAAAAATAATGCTCTACAGGAGTATCAGACCACTGCAAATCTACCAAGACCCGGCCGTCCCTCCAAACTTTCGTCTCAAACAAGGAGTAGACTGATCAGAGATGCAGCCAAGAGGCCCATGATCACTCTGGATGAACTGCAGATAACTACAGCTGAGGTGGGAGAGTCTGTCCATAGGACAACAATCAGTCGTGCACTGCACAAATCTGGCCTTTATAGAAGAGTGGCAAGAAGAAAGCCATTTCTCAAAGATATCCATAAAAAGTCTCGTTTAAAGTTTACCACAAGCCACCTGGGAGACACACCAAACATGGGGAAGAAGGTGCTCTGGTCAGATGAAACCAAAATCGAACTTTTTGGCCACAATGCAAAACAATATGTTTGGCGTAAAAGCAACACAGCTCATCACCCTGAACACACCATCCCCACTGTCAAACATGGTGGTGGCAGCATCATGGTTTGGGCCTGCTTTTCTTCAGCAGGGACAGGGAAGATGGCTAAAATTGATGGGAAGATAGATGGAGCCAAATACAGGACCATTCTGGAAGAAAACCTGTTGGAGTCTGCAAAAGACCTGAGACTGGGACGGAGATTTATCTTCCAACAGGACAATGAACCAAAACATAAAGCCAAATCTACAATGGAATGGTTCACAAATAGACGTATCCAGGTGTTAGAATGGCCAAGTCAAAGTCCAGACCTGAATCCAATCGAGAATCTGTGGAAAGAGCTGAAGACTGCTGTTCACAAACGCTCTCCATCCAACCTCACTGAGCTCCAGCTGTTTTGCAAGAAGAATGGGCAAGAATTCCAGTCTCTCTATGTGCAAAACTGATAGAGACATACCCCAAGCGACTTGCAGCTGTAATTGCAGAAAAAGGTGGCGCTACAAAGTATTGGCGCAAGGGGGCCGAATAATATTGCACGCCCCACTTTTCAGTATTTTATTTGTTAAAAAAGTTTAAATTATCCAATAAATTTTGTTCCACTTCACGATTGTGTCCCACTTGTTGTTGATTCTTGACAAAAAAAATATTTTTTATATCTTTATGTTTGAAGCCTGAAATGTGGCGAAATGTTGAAAGGTTCAAGGGGGCCGAATACTTTCGCAAGGCACTGTAAATCACAAATAAACTGATTCACAATCGGTTCTTTATCCAGACACACTCAGTTTGTGTTGGTTGACTTTCAAATATACCACAAACCACAAGTTAGATGTTATTATAGATTTTTATTTCGTTTTCTATTTATTGCTGAGGGGGTGGGGGTGGGGGGTGACTATTGAAGACCATTTTCAAGACCACTTCCACTTCTGTTTAAAGTCTATTCCTGTTTCGTCTTAACATCTCAAGATCAACGACGACCAAAGATCAAACTCAAGTCTCTGGGGCCAGATCCTTTCAATGGCAAGAAAACTAATGTTGTAGCCATTGTTAGCGATTCTGTTGCATCTCTTTGTGCCGGTCATGACACCAAAGTGCTACTTCTACACCAAAGTGCTACTTCTACCTCCTATTTCATGCATTTCGCCACACTAATCATTCATTCCATACGCGGTGGTGGTGAGCTACTAGCCACAGCTGCCCTGGGGCAATCTGCTGCAAGTGAGGCACCCAAAGAGGCCCCTCCTACCACCACCTGCCATTCACACACGCACAACATTCACACAAGGCAAAGTGGGTGAAGTGCCTTGCCCAAGGACAAAACAACGAGTTTACAGCCGTCCCATTGTAGCACCTGGTGGGAATATCAGGTCTCCCATCAAAGCGGTGCCCAGGCCTCACACGAGGAGACCAGGCCCAATATGTGCTAGCTGTTAGCTTTAGCATCATGACAGGCAAATGCACTGAATCTATCGGTGTTAGTAATTTTTTATTTCAAAGGTCGGCCAAATGTTGCTGTTCCCTGTGATGAGATCTTTTGAATCTCTTTGTTAAAGTGGAAGTGACCTTAAATCTATGTTGTCTTTTTGGGGATTTTTTTTAGGTTATTGGCGTCTTATTAACACCGGGCAAGTCTTGTTCAGAGGCGTGTACATCTTTCAGCTGCTGAGCCAGAATTTTAGCCTCGAGGTGTTTAATCTTCACAGCTTCATCTTCATTCTTTCCTTCAGTCAGTGCTGTCAGCTGCCAATATTTGTTCCCATCTCCCTTGCCACACTCTCTAACTTTCTTCTTTCCTCTTCAGACAATTCCAAGGATGTTCTTCAGCTCTGGATCTCGTACAGACGGCTTTGCTTAATTGTTTTAAGTCTCTGTATATTCTTCCTCCCACTCTTCTGTGGTCTCGTGGTCGTCTTCATACTCCTCATAATCCTCATACTCCTCATACTCTTCTTCATCACAGACATCACTTTGCCCCGACAACTGTCTATTCTCGGCTTTGAGTTCTGCGATGTACGCTTCCATCTGGGCAATAAAAGTGCTTTTCTGGTCGGAGTTTGTGCGACACTCTATCAACCTTTTCTGGGTTCTGGCCAGCTGCTCCTTCCCTTTCTGCTTGCTTTCTTTAATTTTGCTGATTGCCTTGTCTTTCAATTCAATCTTCTTCTGCAGCTCTAGGATTGTCTGATCTGAGGTCCTCCTGGCCTCCTTCACAGCCTCTTCCACCTCCTTCATGGACTTATTCCGTGCCACGAGAGGTCTTTTCTCTGACGCAGCGTGTAAGTTTTTCAGCTGAGTTTCAAGATCGAGAATTCTTGTCTTGAGCTCACTGTTCTCTGCTTTGACTTTGGCGTTTTCTGCCTCCATCGCAGCAATGACAGAGTTCTTCACGAGGAAATCCGCGCTATACTCCTCCAACTTTTTCTTGGTCTTGGCCAACTGCTCCTTCTCCTTCTCGTGTTCAATCAGTTTGCTCATAGTCTGAAGCTTTGTATTCTCAGCTTTGACTTTGGCGTTTTCTGCCTCCATCGCAGCAATGACAGAGTTTTTCAGGATGACATTTGCACTGTAGTCCTCTAGCTCTTTCTTGGTCTTGGCCAGCATTGTCTTTAACTGAGCGGCTTCTGTCCCCAGTTTTGTCTCTTGCTTCTGCATCTGGGTCTTCAGCTTGTCTATGGTGCTGTTGGCATCCAGTATTTGAGCGTTCAACAAGTCCATTGCCTCCTGGTTTCTGTCAAAAATCTCCTGTTTCTCGTCCTGGTGCTCGGTGACGATTGACATATACCGCTTGGCTTTTTCTGCATTTGCGACTTTCAAGGCCTGAATCTCTTCGTGAGCCTTCTGCAGTTGTCCTGTCGTTTCACTCAGAGTCTCTTGGAGAACTGTTTTCTCCTGAACAGTATTCTCCTGTTGGCGTTGGGCAGTAGTGGAGCTCTCTGAAGCCTGCCGTAGAGCCGTCTCTAAGGCAGACTGGAGCTGACTCACTTGCTGCTGCTGTAGTCGACTCTCTTCCTGTTGAGTCTTCTCCAGCTCGCCCTTCTGTTGTTTCTCCCTCTTCAGATCCTCAACCACAATCAGGTGTCGTTCCTCCAACTCCATCACGTAGTCTTCAAGCTTTTCTATAAGCTTGTCCTTTTTAGATCTTCTTCTGAAGCACGACATTTTGCTCAGTTCTGTTTATCGCGGTTAAATCCTTGGTCCGTACTCTCTTTTTAACTCCAACGTATGAATTCTTGTCTGGGACTGTCTCCACGCTCAAACATTCACACGGTAGACTTTGGATCTTTGATGACATCATTTGGAACATTATGTCATGTTCCCGTGACGACAGCTACATTCCTTTGGTTCTGGAATGCTGGAGGTTCGGTTACCGTGGCGATCACGATCCTTATCTTTACTTTAAATAAAATGTATTATTGAGGCAAAAAAGGAATAAATATGTGTTTTGCAACAATTCTAAGAAGCCTGTCTCACATTTTCTGGAAGACTATTTGGTTTTTGCTGCATGAATCTGAAATCTCTCTCCCCGTTATCTCTTCTCTCTCGCTCTCTCCCCTCCCCCTCTATCCATTTCTGCTGTGACCTGAAGGGCCGAAAAGCCTCTGATCTCGTTTGGATTGTGTTCGGAGATTGTTCGGACCTTTTGTAATGTGTTAGGACCCTGTTCGGACCTGGAGACAGTCCATTCACTGGAGGGTACTGCCACAGCAACAGACTGTCATTATCTGAAGGGAAACGATCAGGCTCAATGGCATAGTGGCCATGATATTAACTCGAGGTTTACTTGCATACTAATAGACCTCCAAACGGTAGTGTGCCGAGAGGTCTAAGGCGCTGGATTTAGGCTCCAGTCTCTATGGAGGCGTGGGTTCAAATCCCACCACTGCCAAAATCTATGCTTCAAAGATTTTAAAAAACTACTCAAGCTGGTGACAATTTGTGGAACTCTGACTAACAGCCAAAGAATCAGAGTACACTCTAATACTAAGTCACATCTGTGATGTGTGTTTTACTTTGAAAGCCTCAGTGCAATGTACCGGAACCGGATGTACTTGATACATGACAGTGATATTTCCACCTCCAAAAGACCGGGAATAAATAAGCTCTCTACAAAGCATATTGTCTTTTCTGCATTGAGTGAATTACAAACATTACATTGGCGACGAGTGTAAAGGCCAAGGCAACGCAACGTAAGAGACACATGTTGTTGCGCCGAAGATCAAAGGGGTGGACTGCAAACTAGCTCGACACGGAAAACTAAAGCAGAGCTAGTTGGAACGGGGCTAACAAACAAGCATGGCTACACACGCCTCACCTCTCCCTCCTTTCGACACAGAGACCGAACCGAATTCTGTTGGACCTCGTTGGAACAAGTGGTTACAGAGGTTTGAAAATTACACCACAGCTGTGAACATCACTGGTGATGCAAGATTAAAAGCACTGCTACTGCACGTTGCCGGAGAAAGACTGCATGACATTTACGACACATTGTCAGCAGAGGGCGACAAATACGCAGATACGAAACAGAAACTCACAGCCTATTTCACGCCCAAGAGAAACGTCCAGTATCAAGTATACTTGTTCAGAACAGCTGTACAGGAGCCTGGGGAAAACTTGGACACTTACCACACAAGATTAAGGATTTTGGCAAAAAACTGCGAGTTTGCAGACACAAATGTGGAAATCAAGACACAAATCATACAAAGCTGTACTTCATCACGTCTGCGCAGAAAAGCATTGAGAGAGCCCGATCCATCCCTAGAGGATATTCTGAACCATGGCCGTGCATGTGAGCTGTCTGAAATGCAAGCTACAGGCATGGAAGGTGGTAGTGTGGCCACAGTAAATAAATTGTACCACAAAGCTAAACCAAAAAACCCCGACAGCAACAACTGGTCATCCAAAAGGCTGTCTAACAACCGCTGCAGAAATTGTGGAGGCAGCTACCCTCATGAAGGTGAATGTCCAGCGAAAGGCAAAGAATGTAAGGCATGTGGCAAGTTGAATCATTTTGCACGACAATGCCGTTCAAAACCAAAGGAGACAAAATACAAAAGTCAAACAAGTTACAAAAGTCACAAAACTTCCAAAAGTGTGAATCAGGTATCAGAAGGTGCTTCATGTGAAAAAACGGGTGACACATCCAGCAGTGATGAGGCCTATGTTTATGTCGTTAAAGCCACAAACGCCACCAAACTTCCACAAACTACTGTCACAATGATGGGTACCCAGACACTTGTCCTAATTGACTCTGGGGCCACAACCAACTGTATAAGTGAAACAACTTATGACAAACTACTTCCATGCCCAACACTGAATCCAACTGACACCAAGATCTACCCCTATTGCTCAACCGAGTCATTGCCAGTGTGTGGTGCATTTGAGTGTTGTGAGGAAAAACATGAGAAGAAAATAAAATGTACTGTGTTTGTGATTAAAGGTGACTGCTTCAACCTTTTGAGTTATGAAACTTCAAAGGATTTAGGCCTGATTCACATAATTACAGCAGTATCTGGCCGCACACAGCATTCTGTGGCCGATGAGCTCGTTGACAGCCACCCAGAGCTGTTCAAAGGCATTGGAAAACTCAAAGATTTTCAGGTAAAGCTCCATATCAACACAGATGTTAAAACCACGTGCCTGTGCGGGGAAACCCCAATGGATTTCAAGTCCATCGCCTTAACCTCTCGGCCACAGCAACAGACTGACAATATCCTGAAGGGAAACGATCAGACTCCAGTGTCAATGGAGACTTGGGTTCAAATCCCACCACTGCCAAAATCTTTGCAGGAGGAGGTCAGAGTGTGTGGAGGAGGAGGCGGTGGCCAAAACTTTATTTGATGTAAGAAGTACTTCAACCAAAAAGATCCCCTGATCCTCCACAATGATCATGTGTTGTGTAGAGGTTTGTGGTGTGTTGTGTAGAGGTTTGTGGTGTGTTGTGTAGCATGCGCACAACTTAGAGGGAACATTGGTTGGACTGCGCTCGGATCGGGTCAGACCATCCTGAGACTGTTGCAGATTCTGCCTCGTTCTCATTATTGTCAGTGTGAAAAAGTTACGTATTGTTCAGGTGTGAGTCTGTTGTGTACAAACTACACGATGTGCCTCTTCTTGTGTTAACGCTGTCTTTGTGCGTGTGCTTTGTGATGTGGACACTTTGCTGCTTTGACGCTGGACTTCTGCATAATTAATTTTCTAAAAGATTGTTGTTTGGACCGTTCTTTTATAAAACTCTGGTCCCCCATGGTTCTTTTCTATAACTCTGGTCCCCCATGGTTCTTTTATATAACTCTGGTCCCCCATGGTTCTTTTACAAAACTCTGGTCCCCCATGGTTCTTTTATATAACTCTGGTCCCCCATGGTTCTTTTACAAAACTCTGGTCCCCCATGGTTCTTTTCTATAACTCTGGTCCCCCATGGTTCTTTTACAAAACTCTGGTCCCCCATGGTTCTTTTCTATAACTCTGGTCCCCCATGGTTCTTTTCTATAACTCTGGTCCTCCATGGTTCTTTTCTATAACTCTGGTCCTCCATGGTTCTTTTCTATAACTCTGGTCCTCCATGGTTCTTGTCTATAACTCTGGTCCTCCATGGTTCTTTTATATAACTCCGGTCCTCCATGGTTCTTTTCTATAACTCTGGTCCTCCATGGTTCTTTTCTATAACTCTGGTCCTCCATGGTTCTTTTCTATAACTCTGGTCCTCCATGGTTCTTTTCTATAACTCTGGTCCTCCATGGTTCTTTTCTATAACTCTGGTCCTCCATGGTTCTTTTCTATAACTCTGGTCCTCCATGGTTCTTCTATATAACTCCGGTCCTCCATGGTTCTTTTCTATAACTCTGGTCCTCCATGGTTCTTTTCTATAACTCTGGTCCTCCATGGTTCTTTTATATAACTCCGGTCCTCCATGGTTCTTTTCTATAATTCTGGTCCTCCATGGTTCTTTTCTATAACTCTGGTCCTCCATGGTTCTTTTCTATAACTCTGGTCCTCCATGGTTCTTTTATATAACTCCGGTCCTCCATGGTTCTTTTCTATAACTCTGGTCCTCCATGGTTCTTTTCTATAACTCTGGTCCTCCATGGTTCTTTTCTATAACTCTGGTCCTCCATGGTTCTTTTATATAACTCCGGTCCTTGTTGTATATTTTAAATATACACTAAACAGATGTGACAATATTTGACCATTTGAACATCATAGCCAAACAAGACCTGTGCCCTCAGGTCTTAAGTCACAAGGACACAAGATAGTACAGGAATCATAAAGTGTTCTCTCCCACTTTTGGCAGAGCAAAGTCCAACACAATCAGGCACCGCAGAGGTGGGGGCCTTGTTTGCTAAGACTGATATGGAAGACCAAAACCAGAGACCAGACCAGAGACCAGTCTCAGACCATGTGACGTCATCGGACATGTTGATAAAACTGGGGGTAGGACATTTTGAGCAGTCTGAGCAGGGATAGAGAGACAGAGAACATGGCAGAGCGCCTGCATGTTCTCTGCACACTTTCAGGCCTGGAGGGAAAGTTTAGAATGGCTCAGCATAGGGTTAGTTTAAGAAAATTAATGGCTCCAAGAGTTTTGTATCGATATTTAATTGTAAAGAGAATTAAATGTTCTATTTTTAACTCTTGCAATCTTTGTCTTACTTATGCATCAACTTTGAACACGTCCGTCAAAGGGTATTTTTGACAACATCCTCCATGGTTCTTTTATATAACTCTGGTCCCCCATGGTTCTTTTATATAACTCTGGTCCCCCATGGTTCTTTTATATAACTCTGGTCCCCCATGGTTCTTTTATATAACTCTGGTCCTCCATGGTTCTTTTATATAACTCTGGTCCCCCATGGTTCTTTTATATAACTCTGGTCCCCCATGGTTCTTTTATATAACTCTGGTCCTCCATGGTTCATTCTTCCAACTTGTGAAGGCACGGTGAAAGCAACAATATCAACAGCTCATGTGAAATGAAAACCCGTTTCTTGCATCCTTTTTGTCCCTTATCCACTGTTTTTCAAGATGGCGCATATTCACGGAGAGCACTCCTCTCTCATGGACCTTTGTATGGTAACTTTAGCACTATCCTCTCCTCCTGGACGGCCGCTGGTCCACGTTCTGTAGCTTAGGTCCTGGATCTACAGCCGGTCCGTCCGTGGGAGCGGATCCCTTTTTCAAACTGTGGGTCTCCTCGAGGTTTCTCACTTTTTTCCCACTGGGTTTTTCTTATGAGCTTTCCTTGTCGATGCAGGAGAGTTTGTTGGACAGTTAGTGTCCAACAAAAAGGATGTGGTGATGATCCAGGACACTTTAACATTTTACAACATGTATGGACAATTTGTTTTATTTATTTTACATATGTTCTATATTCTTTTTTTGTTTTAACTGTTGATTTTCTAATCTGTGTTGGTGATTTCAATGGTTTTCTTAAGTCCTCTGAGATGATAGTAGAGTAAAAAAAAAAAGGTATCTCGAGATACCTCTCTGAAACAGACCCGTGGAAGTAGCTAGCAGTGTTTCCGGCTAATGCTGTCAACAAACCATGGGCAACGACACACGTCCGTGTGAAGGTTTATGTAAATGGGATTGACATAAGGACATACTGTAGAAACAGCCACACACAAGTTTTATTCAAGACTAAACTTGTGAAGATATTTGAAGACGATTTTGATGAATGCTTTGCTGCCTTTTTTCCCCGAGCCACGGCCGTGAATGCTCATGTTAGCTGGTAAACAACCACTCACCTTGGACCCGGAGCGAACACGTACATGTGTCTATGGTACAGTACGTACCTAGATTATGTTTTACTGTTGAGTTATGAACACGACTGTTATGATACAATACAGACGTTAAATCTGCCACAGACGTTTGTTTGAAACCTTGTTATCTGCCGTGATTAAACTTAAGTTTGTCCCGAAAAGTTAAGCTAACTATGCAGTCCATTGAGATCATGTTTGATCAAGAAAAATCATATTATTTTTTAACCCCACAGATTAAATATTAAAGCTACACAGAGGAAACAAACGGTTTCATGGAGACAGCAGCTGTAGTTTGCTAACCATAGTGATAACACCTGTTTTATGTATTGATATAAGATAGATAGTATGGGATTAAGCATTATAAATACGAAGACTGGGAATAATGTATATTTATTTGCATTTACTGTATATATTAGACATGTATGAAATTACAGAATCGGCTAAGGCTTATTATAAAGCACTTTTTGTACAATAGTCTGGTAAATATACGTATAGTAAGATGATATAAGCACATTATACAGATGTTACTCTTGTCTTTAATAAAATACATTTGCAGATGACAAAGTCCCACTTTCATAAAGACATCTTTTAAGTGGTTAGCCATGCTTCTAAGTTGGTTATTTGAGTGAATAATTCTATTATTCTGCTGTGAAGCTTATATCTCTTTAATATTAAATACTGGAAGGTATTTTATTTTTACCAGTTTGTTGCAATTTGAAAGCAAGGCCCCTAATATATTAATTAGTTTTAATGTATGATGTTTGTGTTCTTCTTTTTAAGTCTGGAGAAATTAACTTTGACTTTCTCTGACTGCACCAAAAAAGTGGCAACCCAAGACATAAAAGTTAATTGTAATAACATTTGAGGCAAGAAACATCCCCCTCTAATGTCATATCAGAGGTCTGTTTGGCGAATAAATAGAACATTTTCAGAATCCACCTCCAGCGCAAAGCTCTGGCGCTTTAAGCTAATAGCGGGTGTCGAGCAGCGCTGAAGCCCAGGTTAGAGGGCCAAACATGGGGACTTATTTTGAGAACTCCCTGATGCTAACTTAGTTATGATAGTAATTATGACAACCGAAAGAGGAGCCTTTTGAAGCGGACATTATACCTTTTATAACAATATTTGGAGTGATTATTAGTTTTACAAAGTGATATTGTATGTTAACAATGCACATACACAATATGATTGATATATTTGCTAATGACCCTTGTTTTTGCATCACTTACAGTAATTTGTAAGTGATCATCTCTGTGTGGAGTGAGAGGACAAATGCCCAAAAAATAACAATTGTAAACCGCTTTGTGACTCTGGTCTGTGAAAGGCGGTATATAAATAAAGCTTACTTACTTACTTACTTACTTACTTGTATTAGGCCTAAATGTAACAACGTGTGTTCACTGATGAGAGGAACAGCTGTAAAATCATGGAGTTGAACAAAGGAGATGCCTGCGACTGCTCCTGTTCACTTTTAGAATTCTTGAAAAGCAAACGGACTGGTTCTAATCAGATCAGAATAGTTACATGGCTTAATGTACTCAATTAGAAGTATAAATACTGCTGACAAATATGTACTTCAATAAATAATACTTTTCATGACACAAAGAGATGCTTTACACTTCAGATACAAATAACAAAATCATATTAAAAGCAACATGTTTGATTGTTCATATTTATTTCCAGGATCTTCTCTACGAAGGAGAGGCAGAGGCCCTGCTGCTGCTATTGCTGCTGCTGCTACTGCTGCTGCTGTTACTGCTGCTACTGCTGCTGCTGTTACTGCTGCTGCTGCTGCTGCTGCTGCTACTGCTGTTACTGCTGCTACTGCTGCTGCTGTTACTGCTGCTGCTGCTGCTGCTGCTGCTACTGCTGTTACTGCTGCTACTGCTGCTGCTGTTACTGCTGCTGCTGTGAATAAAGATAATGCAGAAAGTAGAGACGCTGACGAGCTTTCTTAACGACTCGGTCAGTGTGATATCCAATAATACCTAGCAGGCGTGCCTCCTCGGTTTGATAGCTTTTAGTGAACAGCATAGACTTTAGTGGATAGGCGCTAATTAGCTACAGTATAAACGATGGTGAATTAAAGTAAATTTAGGAATATATTAATTATTAATAAATGGTATACATTATTAGTCATAATAATACATATATCGCATTATAAAACAAATCACATACATCAGCAAAGTGATGGAGGCACTTTGGATAAAGAGAGACGTTAAGCAGAACTGCTGTTCTTCAGACTCGTGTGTGTGTGTGTGTGTGTCAGAGGAAAAGGGGAAGAAGAGGAAGAAGAGGAAGAAAGAGGAAGAAGAGGATAGAAGGGGAAGAAGGGGAAGAAGAGGAGTAGAGAAAGGATGGGGTGAAGAGGAAGAAGGGGGAAGAAGGGAAGAAGGGGAGAAGAGGATGGAAGGTGAAAGAAGAGGAAGAATGAAGATGAAGTAAGAAGAATGTGTTGGTAAGGGGCAGAAAAAGTGTTGTAAAGTGCTACTTGTGTTTGTAAGTGCTGAATTGTGGTTGTAAGGTGTTGTAAAGTGCTAAATTGTTGTAAAGTGCTAAATGTGTTGAAGGTGTTCATTTTGTTGTAAGGTATGGAATGTGGTGTAAAGTGCTATATGTGTTTTTAGGTTGAATGTGTTGGAGAAAGTGCGAAATTTGTTGTAAGTGTATTGAATTTGTTGTAAGTAATTGAATGGTTTTGTAAAGTGCTAATTTGTTGTAGGGTTGAATTTGTTGTGATGTGCTAATGTGGTTGTTAGGTGTTGAATTTGTTGTAAAGTGCTAATGTGTTTGGTAAGGTGTTGAATTTGTTGTAAGGTGCGGAATTTGTTGTAAATGCTACAATTTGTTGTAAGGTTTGAATGTGTTCGAAATGCTAAATGAGTGTAAGAGTTGAATTTGTTGTAAAGTGCTAAATTGTTGAAGATGTTGAAAATTTTTGTGAGTTTGCTAAATGTGGTGTAAGGTGTTTAAATGTGTTGTAAAGTGGCTAAATGGTGTAAGGTGTTTGTAGTGTTGTTTAGTGCTAAATGTGATTGTAAGGTGGCCGAAATGTGTTGTAAAGGTGCTGTAAGTCTATGGGACAAGAGTGGCTTGAAACTTTTTGTTAATATCTGAAAAAGTGCAAAAGGTGGTAGTGTGAAAAAGTAAGTGCAATAATGAGACCGCACACACACACACGGCCTACTCTTGGGTGTTAATATTGAGCTAGCAGGTTAGCATTGTCCATTTGTATACATGCTATTGACAGAATTCAGAGAGAGACCTGAAAGAGAGAGAGAGAGAGAGAGAGACAGTGTGGTATATCTTTCTCTCTGGTCTCTCTCAAATGCATACCAGAGAGAGAGACCAGAGAGAGAAACCAGAGAGAGATCAGAGAGAGAGACAAATACATAACAGAGAGACCAGAGAGAGATAGCAGAACGAGCCTAGAGAGAGATATCAGAGAGAGAAACCAGAGAGAGACCAGAGACAACTAGAAATGGTACAATGGCTGAAGCCATTGTGAGTGGCTGCATAGATGTTGGAAGGGTTATGGGTGAAGAAGGAAGAGGAAGGGGAAGAAGAAGGAAGAAGAAGATAGAAAAGGGAAGAAGAGGAAAGAAGAAGGGGAAGAAGGGGAAGAAGAAGAGGAAGAAGGGGAAAAAGGGGAAGAAGAGGAAGAAGGGGAAGAAGGGGAGAAGGGGAAGAAGAGGAAGAAGGGGAAGAAGAGGAAGGGGAAGAAGAGGATGAAGGGGAAGAAGGGGAAGAAGAGGAAGAAGGGGAAGAAGAGGAAGAAGGGGAAGAAGAGGAAGAAGAGGAAGAAGGGGAAGAAGTGAAGAAGATGAAATTAGAAGAATGTGTTGTAAAGGGCTGAAAGTGTTGAATGTGTTGTAAAGTGTTGAATTTGTTGTAAAGTGCTAAATGTGTTGTAAGGTGTTGAATGTGTTGTAAAGTGCAAAATGTGTTGTAAAGTGTTGAATTTGTTGTAAGGTGCTAAATGTGTTGTAAGGTGTTGAATATGTTGTAAAGTGCTAAATGTGTTGTAAGGTGTTGAATTTGTTGTAAAGTGCTAAATGTGTTGTAAGGTGTTGAATTTGTTGTAAGGTGTTGAATTTGTTGTAAAGTGCTAAATGTGTTGTAAGGTGTTGAATTTGTTGTAAAGTGCTAAATGTGTTGTAAGGTGTTGAATTTGTTGTAAAGTGCTAAATGTGTTGTAAGGTGTTGAATTTGTTGTAAAGTGCTAAATGTCTTGTAAGGTGTTGAATTTGTGTTAAAGTGCTAAATGTGTTCTAAGGTGTTGAATTTGTGTTAAAGTGCTAAATGTGTTGTAAGATGTTGAATTTGTGTTAAAGTGCTAAATGTGTTGTAAGATGTTGAATTTGTGTTAAAGTGCTAAATGTGTTGTAAGGTGTTGAATTTGTTGTAAAGTGCTAAATGTGTTGTAAGGTGCTGTAAGTGTTGTAAGATGTTGTAATGTATTGTATGTGTGGTAATGAATTGTTTGTGTGGTAATGTGTTGTATGGGGAGTAATCTGTTGTACTGGTCCAATGTAAGTCTATGGGAAAAAGTGCTTGAACTTGTGTAAATATCTGAAAAAGTGCTAAAGGTCGAAGTGTGAAAAGTAATAGCAATAATGAGACGGTGAAGCCGGTCGTAACGATGTATAATTTGTTGAATTTGGTGAAAGCGTTGAAGAGTTGAAAAGTGCCAAAATCTGGCGGAAGTGGAAGAAGAAGAAGAAGAAGAAGAAGAAGAAGAATAAACAGTAGGAGAGCATATAGTGGCTGCATAGTCTATGCAGCCACTCAATTACATACCAGAGAGAGACCAGAGAGAGACCAGAGAGGGAGACCAGAGAGAGAGACCAGAGAGAGACCAGAGAGAGACCAGAGAGGGTCCAGACAGAGACCAGAGAGAGAGACCAGAGAGAGAGATCAGATAGAGACCAGAGAGAGAGAAATACATACCAGAGAGAGAGAGAAAGATAGCAGAGAGAGACTCGAGAGAGAGAGACCAGATAGAGACCAGAGAGAAAGACCAGTGAGAGAGATAGCAGAGCGAGACTAGAGAGAGAGATCAGAGAGAGAAACCAGCGAGAGACCAAAGAGAGATAGAGAGAGAGATGAGCATCTGTGTACAGTCTGTGGTCTTCTGTGTGGTGCTTCTGTGCCTCTGCTTCAGGCCTGGATCATGACCCCTGTGCAGCCCTCCTCCTCCACAGGCTTAGACACCTTCTGCATGAAGAACCGGATCAGGTCCTCGATGGTCGGAGGACCCGGGTGGTTGGTGTCGAGCCATGCAGAGACTTTATCATGGCTCTGCCTCAGCTCCAGGGCCTGTTCAAATCCTGAGGGAAGTACAGCCACAAACACAGAGGTAGAGATGGAGTACACAATCAGACTTCTTTTTATTGCCTCTCTCTCTCTGGTCTCGCTCTCTCCCTTCTTGCTCTGGCCTCTCTCTGACTGGTCTTTCTTGTTGGTCTCTCTCCAGTCTCTCTCTCTGGTGTCCCTTGCTCAGGTCTCTCTCTGGTCTCTCTCAGGTGTCTCTCTTCGGGCTCTCTCTCTGGCCTCTCTCTGACTGGTCTTTATTGTTGGTCTCTCTCCAGTCTCTCTCTCTGCTCTCTCCCTCTCTGGTCTCTCCCTCTCTGTCCTCTCTCACTTTTCTGTCTGAAAAAGCTAAATCTAAAGACGAGACAAAACACATAAAAACTAGTGACAGACGCAACTGTTTTGGAGCCAGGGACTATAGAGACATAGATTTAACTTCATAGTTCTATTGTTCATGGTTAGAAAGTTATGTCCCCCAGCTTTAACCCTGTGCTCCTGCAGACTGTACCTGTGCTCCAGCAGACTGTACCTGTGCTCCTGCAGACTGTACCTGTGCTCCTGCAGACTGTACCTGTGCTCCAGCAGACTGTACCTGTGCTCCAGCAGACTGTACCTGTGCTCCTGCAGACTGTACCTTTGCGCACGTATCGATTGAAGACGTACTCTTTGAGACCCACTTCCCGCCGAGCCCACTCTCTCTCAAACAGACTCTTCCACTCGGCCTTGAACTGGTTCTTCTCACAGATGATTGACACGATGTCTGCACAAAACAATCCTCATCAGTCACTGACCCGGAGTCAGTTTTAGATCCATCCATGCCAAAGCCTGTATAGATTATCTGGTCTCTCTCTTGTCTGTCTCTGCTTTCTCTCTGCATTCTCGCTCTCTCTGGTCTCTTTCTCTCTCTCTTGTCTTTCTCTAGTCTCTCTGGTCTCTCTCTCTGGTTCCTGTCTGGTCTTTCTTTCTGGTCCCTCTCGTTTCTATCTCTGGTCTCTCTCTGTGATCCTTTTGAATAATATGAGGGACATGAATAGCATTGCAATATGTTAAAGATTTCAGTAATATTGAATTGTGGCCCAAATATCGCAAAACTTTTGAATCGTCATATGTTTGCTCATTGCTAAGACGCTAACATGCTAACCCCTCACCGAAGGCTCCAACCTCCTTCCTGAAGTAGACCTGCAGCGCGGCCTCCACCACCTCCTCCAGACTCTTCCCCTTCATCTCGTCCCTCAGGATCTTCTCCACCTCCTCACGAGGCTTTTTCACCAGCCCCAGGTCCGACGAGCTTTTGACTACACACAACCACGCACACACGCACACACGCACACACGCACACACACACACACACAGAAAATCAACCCAATGTCTGCGCACAGAGTATCCTATTGGACTGTTGTGGTAAAGAGGGAGCAGCGTCTGCAGTCAGAGCTTGGGGCAAAGGCCAAAAGGACGATTTCATGAATACAACATGAGTCTCCTCTACGTGTTGCTCCCTTAGAGAGAGGAGGTCAGTCACACGTGAGTAGCTTGGAGTAGAGCCGCTGCTCCTCCACGTGAAGCGGAGCCAGTTGAGGTGGCTCTGCATCTGTTTGGGATGAATCCTGGACGTTGTTTTTAGAACCATCCAAGCAACAACCTGTTTATAGATTCTTCGGTCCCTCTCTCACTTTTCTGTCTGAAAACTGTGCATACTGTACGTGTGTGTGTGTGTGGGTGTGTGTGTGTGTTTGTGTGGGTGGGCGTCTGTCTTTGTGTTTGTGTGTGTGTCTGCATGTGTGTGTGTTTTGCTCACACATGTGGGTGAGTTGCATGCTTGCCACATCTGTAAACTCGTACAGCGGCCGCTCAAAGAACCTGGCAGCGAACTCCTCAATCTCCCACGACTCCCAGGCCCAGAGTCTGTGCAGGACCCCCACCATCTTCATCAGGTCTTCATCTACAGAGAGAGACCAGAGAGAGACCAGAGGGAGACCAGATGGAGACCAGAGAGAGACCAGAGAGAGACCAGAGAGAGGCCATAGAGAGACCAGAGAGAGACCAGAGGGAGACCAGAGGGAGACCAGAGAGAGACCATAGAGAGAGACCAGAGAGAGACCAGAGAGAGACCAGCGGGAGACCAGAGGGAGACCAGAGATAGACCAGAGAGAGGCCAGAGAGAGACCATAGAGAGAGACCAGAGAGAGACCAGCGAGAGACCAGAGGGAGACCAGAGATAGACCAGAGAGAGGCCAGAGAGAGCCCAGAGAGAGACCAGAGAGAGACCAGAGAGAGACCAGAGGGAGACCAGAGAGAGACCAGAGGGAGACCAGAAGGAGACCAGAGAGAGACCATAGAGAGAGACCAGAGAGAGACCAGCGAGAGACCAGAGGGAGACCAGAGAGAGACCAGAGGGAGACCATAGAGAGGCCAGAGAGAGACCAGAGATAGACCAGAGAGAGACCAGAGAGAGACCAGAGAGAGACCAGAGAAAGACCAGCCAGAGAAAGACCAGAAAGAGACCAGAGAGAGACCAGAGAGAGACCAGAGAAAGAGAGGAATACAAAAATCAGCAAACAAGCGGCAGGTAAGTAAGTAATAAGTAAAGTTTATATATACAGCGCATTTTACAGACCAAGGTCACCCAAAGCACTTTACCAAGTTCAGATTCAGTTCCAATTTCTCCACACGGTTATGATGGAAGCGAGTTGCCGAACACACTGGCGCATCAAAGCCACAACAAACACCATCCTCTCACTCTCTCATCTACATTCAGACCTATTGTGCAACCTACGCAGATACGTGCTATCCACCCAGCCACATGCCGCCCGACAGAGCCGCGTTACAACGAGGGTACTGCAAAAACTAACCCTGGAGCTTCTCTGTAGGCTCTTCTCTCACTGTTTCAGATCCAGTGTGTCGGCCTGGTCCGGATCCACACAGGTCCACAACCATCTGAACCAGCTGTTGTCCCTGAGCCTTCAGTGGAGCCGGGTCTGCGTCTCCGTCAAACACAAAATACCTGCTCAAGAGAGAGACCAGAGAGAGACCAGAGAAAGAAGAGAGACCAGAGAGAGACCAGAGAGACCAGAGAGAGACCAGAGAGAGACCAGAGAGAGACCAGAGAGAGAGACCACAGAGAGACCAGAGAGACCAGAGAGAGAGCAGAGACATATCTTTATAAAATGTTCCTTTAGTCTTATTTTGACCTGCTGAGGAAGTCCAAAATGTCTGCAAGATAGGTCTCTCTTTCGTCTCTCTCTCTCTCAGGTCTCCCTCTCTCTGGTGTCTCTCTGGTCTCTCTCTGGTCTGTCTCTGGTATCTCTCTCTGGTCTCTCTCTGGTGTCTCTCTGGTGTCTCTCTGGTGTCTCTTTGGTCTCTCTCTGGTCTCTCTCTGGTGTCTCTCTGGTCTCTCTCTGGTGTCTCTCTGGTCTCTCTCTCTGGTCTCTCTCTGGTCTCTCTGTCTGGTCTCTCTCTGGTCTCTCTGGTGTCTCTCTGGTCTCTCTCTGGTGTCCATCTGGTCTCTCTCTCTGGTCTCTCTGGTGTCTCTCTGGTGTCTCTCTGGTTTCTCTCTGGTCTCGCTCTGGTCTCGCTCTGGTCTCTCTCTGGTGTCTCTCTGGTGTCTCTCTGGTCTCTCTGTCTGGTCTCTTTGTCTGGAGTCTGTCTGGTGTCTCTCTGGTGTCTCTCTCTGGTCTCTCTCTGGTCTCTCTCTCTGGTCTCTCTCTCTGGTCTCTCTCTGGTCTCTCTGTCTGGTCTCTCTGTCTGGAGTCTGTCTGGTCTCTCTCTCTGGTCTCTCTCTGGTCTCTCTGGTGTCTCTCTGGTGTCTCTCTGGTTTCTCTCTGGTCTCGCTCTGGTCTCGCTCTGGTCTCTCTCTGGTGTCTCTCTGGTGTCTCTCTGGTCTCTCTGTCTGGTCTCTCTGTCTGGAGTCTGTCTGGTGTCTCTCTGGTGTCTCTCTGGTCTCTCTGTCTGGTCTCTCTCTGGTCTCTCTGGTGTCTCTCTGGTCTCTCTCTGGTGTCTCTCTGGTCTCTCTCTCTGGTCTCTCTCTGGTCTCTCTGTCTGGTCTCTCTCTGGTCTCTCTGGTGTCTCTCTGGTCTCTCTCTGGTGTCTCTCTGGTCTCTCTCTCTGGTCTCTCTCTGGTCTCTCTGGTGTCTCTCTGGTGTCTCTCTGGTTTCTCTCTGGTCTCGCTCTGGTCTCTCTCTGGTCTCTCTCTGGTGTCTCTCTGGTGTCTCTCTGGTCTCTCTGTCTGGTCTCTGTCTGGTGTCTCTCTGGTCGCTCTCTGGTCTCTCTGTCTGGTCTCTCTCTGGTGTCTCTCTGGTCTCTCTCTGGTCTCTCTCTCTCTGGTCTCTCTCTGGTCTCTCTCTCTGGTCTCTCTCTCTGGTCTCTCTCACCTGTTGCCACAGCGCTCCACCAGCTGCACCAGCGCGTCTCCTTCGCTCTCAATGTGTTGCTCGATGGTCATCTGTCCGAGCCAGTGTCCACGGGTGAAGACCAGGACCATGTGGCTCCAGACCTCCTCCCCTAACGGCCTCAGGTTCTCCTCCGTCACCTGCAGCTGCTCCTGCGTGAAGGAGGTGTCGGCGGGGATCATCAGGAGCACGGCTCTGCCCCCAGGGGCCTCTCTGTACGCCCTGAACGCCAGCTGGATCTCTGTGCGAGTGTCTGCTGGTAGTAGACCAGCGGAGAAGAACTTCCACCAACCAGGAGAGTCCACGACCGTGAGCCCGAGTCCCGGCAGGTCCACTCTGTTCCTGTTGCAGGTCAGGGTCCGACCCTCCCACTCCATCGCTCCCAGGAGAGCGTTGCCAACTTTGGTCTTCTCCGCGAAAACCCAGCCCAGAAGAACCACGGTGAGCTCAGACAGAGGCCGCTCTGAGGCAGGAAGGAAGCACATTTATTATTTAACACATAGTACTCTCTCTGGTCTTTCTCTGGTCTCTCTCTGGTCTCTCTCTGGTCTCTCTCTGGTCTCTCTCTGGTCTCTCTCTGGTCTCTCTCTGGTCTCTTTCTGGTCTTTCTCTGGTTGGCAAATGCTGATTGGAGGACTCAATTCCTCCATGCTGTATAATAATAATATCACTTGCATTCTGTAACTTCTTTGTGCAATAGCATGAACAAAACATGTCTGTCGAAACGATCCCAGACGATTTTATTCAGCTGTCTCTCCAGATTTGGGACATCGCATAGTGTGAAAAACCATGATATAAAGATTGAAACCCAAAATGGTGACATACAGTACATGGGGTGACAGTGACTCAGTTGGTAGAGCATTGACCTTTGGGCCTGAATGTCGTGGGTTCGAGCCCACCATAAGACTTATTTCACGACTCCCACTGATGACTGCTGCCGTTGTGTCCTTGGGCAAGACACTTAACCCCACTTTGCCCGAAGCCCCTGTTGAAAGATCCAGGCTCCTGTGGACTCACCACCTACTGGGTGTAGCTCTGACTGCCACCCCTCCCCCCCCCCCCCCCCCGACCCAGAAATGGATTAAGGGGAAGGAAATGGATGGATGGATGATTAATGAGCTAAAGGAGTATGGAGCTGAAGCGGATATTCAGACTGAAAGACCGAGTGCAAATTCCCCCTTCCAAGCTCTGCCAGCCCTGAGCCTCAGCCAATCACACAGCCTGGCCAGCCTCCTGCCAACCCTCTCACAGCAAAGCGGGCACTTTAAAAGGCAGCCACTTCCTGACAAGCAATGCTTCCTGAGGCTCTTAAGCACCCGCTCTGGCTCTGGCTCCTGCTCTGGCTCTGGCCATTCACACCATACTTTTCCCACCACCAGTGCTTGACCTTGGGGGAATCTGAGATCATCTTCAGCTGAAATCGATCTCATCGCTATAAGTGTCACTGCCGGGGTCAATGCGCCAAAAAAATAAATAATTTTATTGTATTAATTGTGTCTTTGGTCTCTTCAGATTGAATTACTTTTACATGAAAGTCTAGGAGCCAGAGAGAGATGGAGCCAAACTTAATTGGGCTTCATTGAGCTAGCAAGTTAGCGTCGTCCATGTGAATACAGGCTATGGCCTCACCTTGTCTCTGGTCTTTGGCCTCCTGCTCCCTCCTCTCCCTCCTCTCCCTCCTCTCCCTCCGGGCCTCTGCTCTCCTCCCCACCTCCTCTCTCTTCCTGATGAGGGCCTGTATCTGCTGCTGCTGGATGAGGAAGTGTTGATCTGAGAGTGTCTCCCTCATCTCCATCACGGCCCTCATCACCCTGAGGCTCAGCGCCGGCTCTGCGCTGGTGGTGTCCAGCAGGTAGCGGCCGCCACATTTCTGCAGCAGCTCCTGCAGGGGCAGCCCTTCCCCGGACAGGTAGTCCTCCACAGAGCCCCGGCCCAGCCAGTCCCCGCAGGTGAACAGGATCAGGGTGTGGTCCCAGACCTGTGGGCCCAGCAGCTCCATGTGGGCGCACACGGCCCGAGCACAGGCGCTGGTGAAGGGCAGGTCCACCTCACACAGAAGGATGAAGGCGTGAGGACCAGGAGGAGCCAAGGAGACGCACAGAGACAGCTCCTGCTTCACCAGCTCCGCAGTGTCCTGGGGGAGGAGGAGAGGTCAAGCACTTTATGTATAGCACTGTTGCTGCCCATTTTTGGTCGTCTCCCTTTACAATCAGGCAATCCAGGTCTAAGACCGACACCTTTGAGGTGGCACGAGTATGACCTCATTAAAAACACAAACTTACATTTGAAAATGTTGCAGACTTTACCTTTAGCACTGAAACTATTTTTGATGCATGTGCCAGACCAGGGCCTTCTACTCTACTCTACTCTACTCTACTCTACTCTACTCTACTCTACTCTACTCTACTCTACTCTACTCTACTCTACTCTACTCTACTCTACTCTACTCTACTCTACTCTACTCTACTCTACTCTACTCTACTCTACTCTACTCTACTCTACTATCTTGTAGATTTCCCGTGATACCTGGAGGTGGTAGCTCCGCAGCCACACCGGAGCCTTCACCAGCTGTACTCGGGTCCCGTTCACCTCCGCGCTCTGGGACATGCTGCAGGCCGTGCGCCCCCCCCACACCGCGGCTTTAGGATCCAGGCCCAGGATGGAGCTGGCCACAGCGTTGGCCCCGAGCCTCTGCGAGCCCAGCAGCACCAGCCGCAGCTCCGGCTCTGGAGGGACAGCAGGAGACGGTAAAGCTGAGGGACGTAACTTTCAGACCACAACAGACACTACACCTATGTAACAAAACCTCTAGATACAGGTGATCTATCAGTTTGATTCTATCACTAGTTTGATCTTTGTTACAGCTTTTTTCTACTGACAGAAAGAGAGAGAGAGAGAGAGAGAGAGAGAGAGAGAGAGAGAGAGAGAGAGAGAGAGAGAGAGAGAGAGAGAGAGAGAGAGAGAGAGAGAGAGAGAGAGAGATTCTGTATTTCTGCTGTAGAACATTTTTGTGTAGTGGTTTTTCTTTAGCTGTGAATATAGAAAAGTCATGTCTTTAAGCCATTGTCTAAGGCTCCTGTAGACTCAGCACACACACACACACACACACACACACACACACACACACACACACACACACACACACACACACACACACACACACACACATAAACAAAAAACTGTACATTTCTGGATATCGAGACTAAATTAGCAGCACTCACCTGAAGCTGAGGACACGGGTGCTTGCATTGTCTTTACTCTGAACAAAGCGAAACCAGGAAATACATATTTTCAAAAACCAGTTCTAACTACGTACAACATACCTGTACACTTGGTATGCTTGGTAGAGCACTTTCGGTTAGAACATTTCAATAACAGCTCGGCCTGGATAGAACCAGGACCAAAGGGGACTGAAGGAGAGACAAGAGTCGAGTATAGTAATAATAATGATGTAGTGGTTTTATACAGCGCTCAGCACGCTCAACGACGCTTCACATGTCATTATTCATTCACTCCATAATAATAATATGATAATCTGGACTGTAGCCACAGCTGCCCTGGGGCACACTGACAGAAGCGAGGCAACCAGTCTGTACCATCGGCCCCTCACCACCACCAACCATTCACACACACACCAGACTCATTCTAATGTGGGGGAAGTGTCTTGCCTAACGACACAACCACAGTTTGGCACTTTACTGCTGCAGTTTCCCTGTGGCACCTGGTGTCAGAGGTCTCCCATCACAGTACTAAACAGGCCCTGTCCTGCTTAGCTTCACAAACGGTTACTAAGCAAGAGAGAGTTGGAGCCAAACTTCACCATGAGCACTTCCCTATTGGGCTTTAGTGAGCTAGCAGGTTTGCTTTGTCCATCAGTCTATGGGTCAAACTCCTACTGAAGCGGACCCATGTTGACGATGGGACAATGGCGCCACCTTGTGCTGATTTAGAGCATTGCAGCAGCTACAGTGAGGTCAACTATAGAGTGGAATAGTAGTATAGTAATAATAATAATATAATAATTATGCTGTTGTGATTTAGGGCGATACACAAATACATTAAATCAGAGAGAGAGCACCGATAGATCAGAGAAGGACCAGAGAGAGACCAGAGAAGGACCAGAGAGATCAGAGAGAGACCAGAGAGGGACCAGAGAGATCAGAGAGAGACCAGAGAAGGAGAGATGAGACCAGAGAAAAATCAGAGAGGGACCAGAGAGAGACGATCCAGAATAATATTTACAAATTGTGGCATGAAGAAACGAGTCAAAGAGAATTTCAGGTGAAGGTTTTATTTTTCTGCAGCCTTCAGAACAACATATTAACTTATCAACAACAGCCACAGACAGGGATACTATAAGAACGATACATCGTAGATATAACAACACAGTTAAGAAAGAGGGGAAGACCAGAGAAAGACCAGAGATAGACCAGAGCGAGACCAGAGATAGACCAGAGCGAGACCAGAGATAGACCAGAGCGAGACCAGAGATAGACCAGAGATAGACCAGAGAGAGACCAGAGAGAGACCAGAGATGCACCAGAGAGAGACCAGAGAGAGACCAGAGATAGACCAGAGATAGACCAGAGATAGACCAGAGAGAGACCAGAGAGAGACCAGAGAGAGACCAGAGAGAGACCAGAGATAGACCAGAGATAGACCAGAGAGAGACCAGAGAGAGACCAGAGAGAGACCAGAGAGACCAGAGAGAGACCAGAGATAGACCAGAGAGAGACCAGAGAGACCAGAGAGAGACCAGAGATAGACCAGAGAGAGACCAGAGAGAGAGACCACAGATAGAGCAGAGAGAAACAAGTACTATAAGACAGGCTGATACATCATACATTTAACAACACAGTTGAAACACAGACAAGTGCAGGAGAAGTAGGTCTCATTAAGAGAGTATTATGTTTTAGACAGTGGGAACATTAACTCTAAGCTGCTTGGATCCAGATCTCGTTGTGGTGAAAGAGGGAAAAGAATCCTTCATATCCAGCGCCGTAGAAGAAGTCTTTCTTATAACTAATCCCAGCCTGGTCCAGATCCTGCCGCAGTCCCACTGCATTCGCCCGGGCTTCTGCGATGGACGGGGTTCCTCCAAACCTCCTGAGGACACAGTCTTTCAGATGCATGACGTGTGTGCGTCTGACCTGACCAAGATGGCGGCTATGTGTGCATCTAACCTAACCAAGATGGCAGCTGTGTGGTGCATTATTATTACCTTAGACTGTAAATATTAACAGACGTATTTACTTCTATCTCCGCCGTTAAAACTAATGTGCTATAACTTTTGCCTTCTATGGGCAGTTTCAAAATGGCCGTGGGGGCTGGAAAATATGAAAAAACACATCCGTGCCAGCTACGCTGAAAACGCATGGCCCCTCAGCATTGACACACATCTGGAAATCCATCTTGTAAACCCGTTTTTGAGAGGTAAGAAGATACGTACATTAGCATTGACTAATTCTTATTCCGGGTCCACCCCCACAGGCCCGGGGTGGTATTGCAAGCATGTCAGCGCACAACATTTTGGACATTTTTGAGCCGGGACCCCCCCCCCCTTGATTATTACTCCTCTTAACCTTAATCTAAATCTTAAAGATGGCGGATGTGTGGTGCTTCTGACATGACCAAGATGGCGGATGTGTGTGTTTCTGACCTGACGTAGACAGTGCCCTGGGGGACAGTGTCCACCCGCACCAGGACGCCCGGGTTGCTGTAGTCGGTGTTGGGCAGAGTCACATGAGGGAGGACCATCCAGCACATCTCATACTGCACTTCCCCGTCCTGGTCCCGCTCGCTGATCAGAACTGGCCACGCGTCCGAATTCACATCCGTCCCTGGACCACAGCAGGAGAACAAACGACCCTCATGAAGGAGTCTCCAGGAGTTGGGGTCTGGGCCCCAGCCAGATGGAGTCCCCCAGGGCTGCTCTCTGTCACTGTTCTGTTCACTGTCCTTAAGACAGGTCTGGAGTTGCCAGGAGCCAGAGCGAGTCTGGTTTGGGGAGCACAGGGGCCAGAGAGTTTGAGGACTATACGTTGTTGTTTACAGAACCGGTGACAGAGAGCAGCCTTGGGAGAGGCCAATACTGGGAACAGAGACCATGCCCTCAGGAGAACACCCAGACCCCGTACTCTCAGAGAACCACTCAAAGGACCCTCCAAGGAAAGTTCATGTGTCTGGGGCGAACACCAAACTCCCACAATGCCTCAGGTTCAGGGGATGGAGCTAGTTATTAGAAGTTATTTTGACTTAATTGTTTGTATTTTTTACCTAATTCTTGGTTCTTTTGTTGGATAAATGCCTTGAGGTTCTCAACAGCCGCCATGACGTCACTGGAGCCGGTTCCCAGGACTCGGCTGCAGATCCACTGGGTCTGAGCGTACAGGCGCTCCTCGAACACCTCAAACACAGCATCAGCTCATTACACACGGATCCTGAAGCCAGACTCACAAAACCAGATCTGCAGAGACTGGAATGAGGAACTCCAGTCCTGTGAGATGGGAGGAGAGGAGAGGAGAGGAGAGGAGAGAGAGGAGGAGAGGAGAGAGAGGAGAGGAGAGGAGAGGAGGAGAGGAGAGGAGAGAGAGAGAGAGGAGAGGAGGAGGAGGAGAGGAGAGAGAGGAGAGGAGAGGAGAGGAGGAGAGGAGAGGAGAGAGAGAGGAGAGGAGAGGAGGAGGAGGAGAGGAGGGAGAGGAGAGGAGAGAGAGGAGAGGAGAGGAGGAGAGGAGAGGAGAGAGAGGAGAGGAGAGGAGGAGAGGAGAGGAGAGAGAGGAGAGGAGAGGAGGAGAGGAGGGGAGGAGAGGAGAGGAGGGGAGGAGAGGAGGGGAGGAGAGAGAGAGAGAGAGAGAGGAGGGGAGGAGAGGAGAGGAGAGGAGGAGAGGAGAGGAGAGAGAGGAGGGGAGGAGAGGAGAGGAGGGGAGGAGAGAGAGGAGAGAGAGGAGGGGAGGAGAGGAGAGAGAGAGGAGAAGAAAGAGGAGAGGAGAGAGAGGGGAGGAGAGAGAGGAGAAGGGAGAGAGAGAGAAGGAGAGGAGAGGAGGAGAGAGAGGAGGTGAGGAGAGGAGGAGAGAGAGACCGGAGAGACCAAAGAGAAACCAGAGAGAGAGACCAGAAACAGACTAGAGAGACCAGAGAGACCAGAGAGAGACCAGAGAGAGACCAGAGAGAGACCAGAGAGAGACCAGAGAGAGACCAGAGAGAGACCAGAGAGAGACCAGAGAGACACCAGAGAGAGAGACCAGAGAGAGAGCACCACGACATCACACTCAGAGCAGTTTTCTGTCTTTAAACAAAAGCACATAAATGAGTTTAAACTTCTCAGGTGTCTGCAGCTCGTTCTGGTCCCTGAGGAGGCTTCATACTTGTTCCACCACAAAATACTTCACATTCTAAAACATGACACCACAGAGCATACAGTCTCGTTATCATATTTTAACGTAGAAAAATAACGTGCAATGATTCTTCTTTCGGAACAAAGCTGGATCCAACAGTAACAAACACTGACTTTAAAGCTGGGGGATGTAACTTTCAAACCACAACCGTAGGAACTGTGTAATCAAATCCACGTCATAGGCTCAAAAACAGTTTTCTTTGTCACTGGTTCTATCTCGTGGTCACAGCATCAGTAAAAGATCAGCTCTCAGCCCAAACAGTCACATATTTAGGCCCGAGCCCCGAACAGGGTAAGGGCCTGTTGCTTTCACAATGGTGAATGCAAGCGGTGAGTGACGGACGCGTGCTTGACACTTTTGTTGTACATAATTATCCTGCATGTAACATGTTCGTACATTTCTTTCTTTTGCACAATCTGAGTGTCTCTATCCATGCCAATGTGACATGTAAATTTCTCCTTTGGGAGATAAATAAAGCACATCTTATCTTAAACTCAAACGCTTTAAAATGATGTATCACGTGCCGTGTTTATTTATTTATTTTTTCTTCTGCGCCGTTTGCCTTAATTTGACCCCCTGAACATGCATGAAAACTTTTTAAATTTTGCCCAAAAATCAGACCTGCTGTTATTTTGGTGTGGGACCAAAAAAATGCCAGAACAGCGCAACCTACAACCACCAAAATAATATCCCTACAGGAGTTTTCGGGGGTCAAGTTTGTCGTAGAAACATGAAATTCGGTACACATGTTCCTTTTATTATGGCCCCGCCCTTTGACAAACAGGAAGCCCATAAATTTCACTGCAAAATGGAAAAATGAACAGCAATAATTTTCATACACGTCGGTTGGAAAGCGACTCCTCCTCGGAGTTAATTTTTCACTTCAAAATGGAAAAATTAAAAATGATCCTTTTCCTCCTCGGCTGTTTCACCGATTTGCCTCAAAATTGCTCCACATCGTCTAAACACATGTACCATCATTTTGATTTCACAGACTTTTGATCAGTAAAACGTTGTTTGAGCAGCGGAGCGCCAAAAAGTTGCGTATTTTTTTCAGTTTTTGACTATAGAAAAATTGCTTCCGTTTGCACAAAGTCCGATTTGCACAAAACTTGAATCCATGGTTCAACTCTTCGGTCTGGGTTATTTTAAATTTAAAAATTAGAAATTGGCTCTATAGCGCCACCTACAACAGCCAATTTAAAAACGCCTATGGGAGGGGTTTGAGGTTAAAATTGTCGTAGAGCCATGAAATTTGGAACACATGTTCCTCAAGTCAAGAAATGGAAAAAATGTTATTATGGCCAAGCCCTCTGACAAACAGGAAGCCCATAAATTTCATTGCAAAATGGAAAAATGAAAAGCATTTTCATGCATGTCGGTTGGAAAGTGACTCCTCCTCGGCCGTTTCACCGATTGGCCTCAAATTTGCTCCACATCATCTCAACACAGGAACCGTCAAAATTACTTCAGGGATTTTTGATCAGTGAAACAATGTATGAGCAGCGGAGGGGCAAAATGTGATCTTTTTTGCCATTTTTTATGATCTAAAAATAGCTTCAGATTGCACAAAGTCTGATTTGCACAAAACTTGAATTCATTGTTCAACTCCAGGGTCTAGGTCATGTGAAAGTGAAATACTTGAAATTGGCCCTTTAGCGCCCCCTACAGACTGAGGCAAAGTTTTACATTGGGAGCCAAACCAACTCAACTGATCTTATTCATTATAATTTCACAAACATTCTTTTATGGCTACGGGACCAAATCATGGCTCGGCGGCGCCACCTCCGATAAGCGGTGCGGGGCGTTGTGGAGCGGTGTGGCGTGGCGCGGGGCGGCCTGGTGCGGCGTGGCTTGGTGCAGGGCGCCGTGGTAAGAGGTGGCGTGGTGCGGGGCGGGTGGCGTGATACGGTGCGGCGTGATACGGTGCGGCGTGGTACGGTGCGGCGAGGGCCGTTCGACGCCGCTTGCGGCTTAAATTTCAATTTATTTGAATTAAGTAAGTAATCTTTATTTATATACCGCCTTTTACAGACCAGAGTCACAAAGCGGTTTACAATTGTTGTTTTTGGGCATTTGTCCTCTCACTCCACACAGAGATTAGTTCCAAAACAGCCAAACACCTCTGGTGGAGCAAGGCGGAACTACATGGGTCTGGCAGAGCCAGGCTACACAGAGATGGGAGTGAGAGGACAAATTAGGACAGAAGCAAAACACATGTGCGGCCATTACATAGTCACGATAAATACAAAATACAAGTTACCATGGCAACTTTCAAAGAGTAATCATCTAATATTACAAGATTACAGGACTGTGACAATTTATTCTTAAAAACAAAAAGAAGGAACTCCAGACAGAATAAAAACTGAGCACAGAATTTATTCCCACAGTCTGCGTCACATCGAAAGAAAATGTTATGTCTGGGTTTGCATATGGTGAAGGCCGGACTCCCATGGATCTATAATAATAACTGGATAGTGTATTACTAGCTTATAGCTGTCCCACCCATGGGCACAGGGGGCGCCGTGGTACTTCAGACTAAATTCACGAGGGCTACCCAGAAAAAAGTCCCATAGAACTCAATGTAAACTAAAACAGCTTGACCTCAGCTGACAGAGAACCTACAGCTTTCATAAAGGTCGGATTTTGTGGGGATTTTAGTGTCCCTTGTCATCCTGAACTTTTTTTCTTCTTAAATCCTTCCGTTTTCTTTAAATCCACACTTTTGTGCAACAAACTCTGCTCCTTTCCTTCCCGCTCCGACTCAGTTCTACTGCTGCTCTGATCAGCTCTGATTGGTCAGAGCGCGGCCGAGCCCCTCTGTGCACGTGCATGAGAGCCACACACGCATATTTGGTGCAATGCATCATGGGAGCTCGTCCACTGCTCAGAACCGGGAGGACCAGACGATGCCCAAATACAGGGGACTTCTGCTAATCTCACGGCCTCCATGAAGTCCCATGCACTACTGAGCACAAGCCATTCATTTGAATAGGGCGCCATCTTGGATCACCGGGGCTTGGTTGGGCTCTGGTGATCATATTAATAATAAAAATATAATAATATCGGTGATGAGTTCCACTGTTTGAGCATGAAAAGTGAGACACAGACCTCTCTCTCAGTGTTGTGTCAAAAATCCACCTTTTCTTATGCTAAATGGAAGCCACAGAATCCTTTCTAAACTTGGGGCATGTTTGAAAAAGGTCCTTCCTTCGTTAAAATTAAGTATTTCTTTGCTGTTATACCAGATTTATGGTCTTTAGAAATTACAGAAAGAAAGAAGGGTTTGTACTAAATAGCAGTTCATTAGCTCTTCATTATTGAGGGATAATCTCGAGTGTTTCCCATGTTTTCTAATAAGATGGATATTTACTCTGAAGCTAGAGATTTTAGACTTGCTTCTTTTTTAAAGTTATAGATTTGTTTTTTTAGTATAGTTATTTCTTTTTCTTGCTTTTTTTCTCCCTAAGATGTTGCTGCAGTACAGTGTTCATGGTTTTACACTGGTCCAGACCGGAGCAGCGAGGATTCATGGTCCAAAACGAACGGATCTGGCAAAAACCCACTGGAGGAATGCTAACTTTTTGTTAATGCTAACAAAGCCTTCAGCGTTTTACTTTGGACCAGAGCAGAGAAAATGGTCCAAACTTTATATCTCTATTTGTTTTGTTTGTTTGATCAATAAAGAATCTTTCTATCTTGTGTTGTGTGCTCCTCATTCCTTCTGTTCTGTGACTGGTGATGCAACACTGACATTTCCCCGCTGTGGGACAGGATCTAAATCTTCATCCTAAAAATAAAATGCAATAAAATGGTTTGGTTTTTTCACAACATGTTTCTTTACTCTTTCTGTTGAGACATTTGTTATTCATGGTAGATGATAAAGTTACATACCCCAGCTTTAAAGCTTCAACACGACACAAGCTGGACTCAGACTGGACTCAGACTGGACTCAGACTGGACTAAAGACTGGACTCAGACTGGGCACAAACTGGACTCAGACTGGACTAAGACTATACTCAGACTGGGCTCAGACTGGGCTCAAACTAGACTCAGACAGAACTCAGACCAGACTCCTTACCACATGATCCTGGGTGAGCGTGAACATGGGGCAGATGTGATTTTGGGGTTCGCAGTAGTCCAGCTGGGTCCAGGCCTGAGCGGACAAAGAGGAACCCAGGAGCAGAGCCAGCAGCAGGGGCAGAGACGGGACCAGCGCGGGAGCCATGCTGATGGAAGTGACAGGGACGAGCCACAGATGCAGCTGAGTCCGCTCCCAAAACCAGTTCGGCAGGAAGCACAGTCTGCACGCAACAAAGAACATTCCTGACGTTAACCCTGAGTTAGAGAGAGATGAGGCAAAAATGACAAAAACTATTCATTCAATTTAAAGTATTTTTGTATCAGAGGCTGAGGCTAAAGAACCAGGACTGTGGCAGATATAAGACCATCAAACCAATTTTAACATACAGTAAGCTAGCTGGAGCCAATTTCCTTTTATGGGCATTTGTTCTGACAGCAGGGCAGATGTGTTGCTAGGGTGTACTGTAAAAAAGGGTTAGAGGCACAAATACTTATATCGCAGCATTGAGGCCTGTATTTCTTCAATCTTTTTAATCTACTGTGATTATGCATAACATCTTGCTTCGCCCTGGCCTGAGGCGAGCTGGAGTTCCCCGGCGAATGAAGACTTCTGATTGGTCAATTCTTTTATGGCTCTAATTTACAGAAACAACATCACAATATAAACACTAGGTTCACAGAGAGCTATCAGGACACCAGTGCGTTTGGACCATACTGTGTTTGCAGATTAATAAATAATATTGAAAATCATTAAAGTGGTTACTGTAATACCCCAGTGTGCCCCTAGGGTCGGCACGCCGCCAGTTGGGACGCACTGCTCGACATCAAGCCTCATTGAAACAGGAATGTAAATGTTACACTGGTCGTATAACGTCCACACAGTCTCTCTCTCTGTGTGTGTGTGGGTGTGTGTGTCTCTGTGTGTGGGTGTGTGTGTGGGTGTGTGTGTCTGTGTGTGTGTGTGTGTCTCTGTGTGTGTGGGTGTGTGTGTCTCTGTGTGTGTGTCTCTGTGTGTGGGTGTGGGTGTGTGTGCTTCTGTGTGTGTGTGGGTGTGTGTGTGTGTGTGTCTCTGTGTCTCTGTGTGGGTGTGTGTGTCTCTGTCTGTGTGTGTGTGTGTTTTTGGTCCATCCAGTTAAACCACTCATAATGATTTTCTTGTCTTCTTCAGAGCAGACCTCTGCTCCTGTTGGCTGGATGGCAGAATGACAGGGCTGAAGCTGAGTCTGCACCTCCCATCGTAGTAACAATAATAACAATAATAATAATAATAATAATAATAATAATAATAATAATAATAGTAATAATAATAATAATAGTAATAACACACCAGACTTACTCTGATGAGGGTGAAGTGTCTTGCCTTAAGGCTCCGCTTCAGGATCAGACACATTGTTTCAGTTTATGAAACATCTGACTGCGCCACCTGCAGGTGAAACCAAACCTTGATTCTGAGGCATTATTATTGACAGTATGGTCTCCCATCACTGACCAGCATTAGACACCCACCCTCAGAAACTTGGGGGTTGTTTTTGATCAGGCCCTGAATCTTTACACACACTGCAAACAGCTCGTTAGAAACTGCTTTTATCATCTCAGAAACATATCCCAAATTCAAAACAAATTGTCACAGAAGGACTTGGAGATGATCATTCATGCCTTTGATTCCACACGTCTCGACGACTGCAACTCATTGTTTACATGTCTTAATAAGAGTGCTCTTAACAGACTACAAATTGTGCAAAATTCCGCTGCCAGACTTTTAACAGGAACCCCCCCGGTGGTCTCACATCACCCCGGCCCTGCCCTCACTTCATTGGCTCCCAATTAAATTACGTATCGATTTTAAATTTTTTATTTTAACTTTCAGAACCTTAAATGGTCAGGCTCCATGTTACATCTCGGACCTCTTGACCCCACACTGTCCTGGCCGCACTCTTAGGTCCACAGGCCAAAATGTACTTGCAGTCCCAAAGACCCGCTATAAGACCCGGGGGGACCGGTCCTTCCAGTCCGTGGCCCCCAGACTGTGGAACGCCCTGCCTCTGTCCCTCTGTGTGGTAAACTCTGACGATGCTTTTAAAAAGGGACTAAAGACACTTCTTTTTAGGACAGCTTTTGGTTAATTTCTTGTTTTTATGTTATTTTCTATTTTTGTCTTATTTCTATTGTATTTACATATCTGCTTTTACCCTGTACAGCACTTTGTGATTTGTGCTCTATACATACATTCTCCTTACTTACTTACTAGACCTGCTGAGCTTTAAAGATCTGAGGCCTGTCATTAGTCCCTGACTGTCGACACAGTTTTCTGGTTTTCTCCTGTGTGTGTTTGGCCTTTTTTTCACAGACAAGAAAACTAGCCTAAAGCTTCAAATAGTGACTCACTGGGAAAGAGGAAGACTGCAAAATGTGTAGATAAATAGTGTAACGAGAAGTGATAGAGGGGGAGAGAAGCGAGGGGGAGACAGGAGAGAGAGGAGAGGGGTGAGGGAAGCACAAAGGCTGAGGGGAGAAAGGGGAGAGAGGAGAGCTGAGAGAGAAGGAAGAGAGGAGAGAGGACCGCAGCGTGAAGGTGTAACCACTGCGTTAGTGCAGCAGATGGCGCTATAGGGCAGGCTTTAGAGCTGGAGGATGGATGTGTCTCCTCTCCTCACTCGTGCTCCGGTCCTCACTACATCCCAGTCACCGGCGCTATGCACGTGTTAAAGCGGGGACCACCCACCGCGGACAGCCGCCTCCCCTTGGGTATCGGTCAGAGCCCCTCACACCGCCCGAGCATGAGGACCTCCTGAGAAGTGGCAGAGCAAGACTTTTAAACAAAGGGTGGCCAGGGGGTGGCAAGGGTTTTTATAAGGGGTCCACATTTATACTATTCAGAAATTTTATTTCACACAAAAACTGGCTAAATGATACATTTTAATCTTAATCTTATTTTTCTTTATATAAAATGAACTGAGTGCACTACAAAGCAAAACAGTGCATTTACAGTTTTTCTCTATTGCTGCAACACAAAAGCCAGTACTCTAAACCAAATGACCCATTGCCTAAACACATTTATTAAAACTTCCCCCACTTCTCACAACCATAAACACAATTCTCCTGTAGACACTATTCACAAAACACATGCCCTTTTTCTCAAAACTCTAAACACATTTTTCCTCTGCTAAAACACATTTTGCATGTATCTCTACTCCTATAATCATTGTGAGGCTCATGTGATGAAAAATGTCTCCCACTGTCAGCAAAACCTGGACACAATTAACAGACCTGGTGTCATTCAGAAAACACAACCATCAGAACTGAACACTCCTGTTGCAAATGATGTGACACAACTTTATAAGTCAATGCAGTTTGATGAAGGTTCAAAACGAAAATGGATGATCAAGGCACAAGAAGAGGAGTTTGTGTCAGAGGGAGGGAGAGGAGCAGGTCAAAGAGGGAGAGGAGCATGTCAAAGAGAGAGAGGAGCAGGTCAAAGAGGGAGAGGAGCATGTCAAAGAGGGAGAGGAGCATGTCAAAGAGAGAGAGGAGCAGGTCAAAGAGAGAGAGGAGCAGGTCAAAGAGAGAGAGGAGCAGGTCAAAGAGAGAGAGGAGCAGGTCAAGGAGGGAGAGGAGCAGGTCAAAGAGGGAGAGGAGCAGGTCAAAGAGGGAGAGGAGCAGGTCAAAGAGGGAGAGGAGCAATTCAAAGAGGGAGAGGAGCAGGTCAAAGAGGGAGAGGAGCAGGTCAAAGAGGGAGAGGAGCAGGTCAAAGAGAGGAGCAGGTCAAGGAGGGAGAGGAGCATGTCAAAGAGAGGAGCAGGTCAAAGAGGGAGAGGAGCAACATGTATTATGAATGCACGGGAAATGTAGGTACCCCAGCTTTAATTTAGTGAGTTGTACTTTCAGGGCGACAGGTGGAGACATGGGGGACACAGTGGGGGGGGGGGGGGGGTGGGGGGGGGGGGGGGGGGGGGGGGGGGCAGTCTGTGCAGTCGTTTCTCTTGCACTGTTCCTGTCTTTGTCTGAATCGTAGCTTATCGCGTCTGTTCCATTCCTCCTGCACTTGTAAATAGTTCATGTTTGTCTCAGATATTTACCACTTTTATTGTTTTGCTGTTTGTACTGAATACACTTCAATAATAACTATGTTTCCAACAAGAACTGTGTCTTTATTCACAACATCACAGTTAAATGAGTTGAAACGATGAGTTTAGAACTGTCACACAAACCTACAGTAGAAACACATGTAATGATCTCAAACAGCTTCGCTTTTGTTTTTGTTCTGAAGACGAGAAAGAACCCCCTGTCATCACACCACGCCCCCCCCCCACTATTTGAGAAGCACTGCCCTAAACATTGTGTTTTCAATTGTTACTGTACTGTAGTATCTTTTGTGTGTCATGGATCCTCCATAGAGTTACTCATGTTTGCATTGAGTTGTGATATAACTGCATTTTCTTCTTTTTGTAACTATTCTCATAAAATGCACAAATCTATAGTAAATGGCCAAAATATATTTGAGAATAAAAAGTGTTGCTCAAATGCATCCTGGCAGGTGTGATATTGTAAAAAGAACAGTCTCACATTCTGAAAATTGTGTTTTCAATTGTTTTGGTGAAGTGGTTAATGATGCTCATAGTGTTCACATTTTTGCAAACCATGAGAGGTATTTTGGTGTGATGGGTTGGTTTTGAAAAGAAACTGTTGTTATTGTGTGTACGTAGCTTTAGAAAAGAGGTTTGTGTTTAGAGTTTTGAGAAAAGGGAGGGCAGTATCGTGAAATGTGTTTAAGCAATAGAGAAAAACTGTAAACAGTAGTGTTAGGGATTGTGTGTAGGACCCCAAAGCAGAGACAGAGACCGAGCACAATTCAAGGTATGGATTTACTAACAAAAAATAAATACAAAAACAGAAGGCAGGCAGTGGAGACTGTGAGCTGGCTGGCTGGTCAGGAAAACGAATACCTGAACACAGGACACAAAAAACCAAAACAAAAGCACTAACTGACACTGCTGCTGTAAACTGACTTGAGGTCTGCACCAGAGCTTTATGCAGAGCTGATGAGGAACAGGTGTGAGCCCACACACCTGCTGCAGAGCCAGCCACGCCCTCAGTCACACACATGCCCTGAAACAAACTGAAAGAGAGGGGGAGGCAGTGCAGACCCAAACCCAACAAGTAGTCTGAAGAAAAAAAGTGCAAAATGACGTCATTCAAACATTGCATTAAATTTTACTTTTAACAAATGTAGGCAACTTTTTTACAGGATATCAGCAAAGCAAAATCGTGCGGTTCTGGTGTAAAGCAGCAAAGATGTTGACAAACTTAGCCCCTAAAGCCTAGTGTATAGTCGAGCAGCGCGGACCTTACGGTGGTGACGTGACGTCACTTGTGCAAAGCGTGGATCACCGCAAGGCCCTTACGTAGCCTGCCACGCACCCTCAAACATTTCTAACTACGTAAGGGTCGGCGCAAGGAAGCTCCGCTGTGATTGGTCCGTGTGTGATTACTTTCTGCAGGGACATGGACGAGGCACTTCAGAGCAGACTGCCTCGCGCTTCGAAGGAACCAAAGGAAAAGTAGTTTGGGTTCATGGCCAAGCCTGATATACTCGAAGACTATGGATTAGAGTTCTGTTGCATATCTAACTTATATATAACTTATAAAAACTGTGCAGTCGTTTCTTTCCTGTTGCACTTAGTCCTGTTTCCTGTTCCATTCCTCCTGCACTTGTAAATAGTTCATGTTTGTCTCAGATATTTACCACTTTTATTGTTTTGCTGTTTGTGCTAAATACACTTCAATAATAACTATGGGCCTCATTCACGAATAACTTCGTAAGAAACTACTCAACTTTCTTCTCAAGTTGTCCTTAAGTAGATTTCTAAGAAGTCCCCACGTGGGATTCATCAACGCACTCGTAAGCCGCTGAATTGTTCGCAGCTGTTCTCTCAGATTGATGAATCCCATTTCCTCGTAAGTACAGCGCGCGTGCCAGGTGCTTCATTAGCATAGGTACTTAGCATAAGTAACCGCCCATTAATGCCCATATAAGGGGCTGCAGGGCCGTGTGCAGACGGCTGAGGAAACAGCAACAGGCCTAAAGCAAAGAGTTACACGGAGCAAAAGAGTCACCCTTTTTTCTTCTTTTACCAGACTGAGAATAAAGTTATAAAATGTTGACTTAAAAGTCGAAATATTATGATAATAAAGTCGAACTAGCAAAATTATGAGATTAATCTAAGAATATGATGAGATTAATCTCAAAATGTTATGAGCTTAATTTAAAAATATATTATGTATTATTTTAAAGATGAATCTCAAAATGTTTTGAGATTAATCTCAAAATATTTTGGACCCTGGGAGGAGATCCAGCGCGGACCAGCGCTGAGACCAATGCAGACCCGAGGAGAGACTGGAGTGACCAGCACACAGAAACCAGCGCGGACCTATAGGAGAGACCGCATAGACTGGAGTGACCTGACTGGAGAGACCGGTGCGCAGAGACCAGCGCGGACCGAAGATAGACCGCATAGACCTGACTGGAGAGACCAGCGCGGACCCGTATGGATCCAGGAGCATGCAGCACGGACCCGTATGGAGAGAGACCAGTGCAGACCCGTCTAGATCCATAGGAGAGACCAGTGCAGACCAGTATAGATCCATGGGAGAGACCAGTGCAGACCCGTATATGGGAGAGACCAGTGCAGACCCGTATAGATCCATAGGAGAGACCAGCGCAGAGACTCAGCGCGGACCCATAACCTCCTGCAGCAGCAGTATATATGCCGTTGTTCTGTGGCCCGTGGATAAAGAAATGCCCCCTATAAATAGGAAGGGGTCACTAATACACGGCAAGATTTCCAATGTATTTGATAAAGCGTTGGCACATTTCATTTCAAAATGAATTACAAAGTAGGCCAGATCTGCAGTGAAAAAGGCGGTATATAAATAAAGATTACTAATAAAGATTACTACAAATAAATAAATACATACATCGATATGACGGACATATCACTGGAATGTTGTATTTTTATTCAACTTCACCAAAGAGGACAACCCCGGCGTGTGAACATGTCGGCACTGAATGCGTACGAGTGCTCCTGAGGACTCGTAGGATTTGTACTTGCCCAAGAGAAATTCTGGTTACGAGAAATATTCGTGAATGCCACTTTCTTCGTAAAAACCGCGTAAGTAGGATTTACGTACAAATCTGTTCCTAAGAACGAATGAGGCCCTATGTTTCCAACAAGAACTGTGTCTTTATTCACAACATCACAGTTAAATGAGTTGAAACGATGAGTTTAGAACTGTCACACAAACCTACAGTAGAAACACATGTAATGATCTCAAACAGCTTCGCTATTGTTTCTGTTCTGAAGAGGAGAAAGAAGCAGCACAAATGGGACCGCTTTGGTTTCTCAGGTAACTCTTGTGAGTTCGCCATCATGTGGTTGGTTGTGGGATTACAACATTCGGGGAACGCGCAAGTGTACCACAAACTGTGGTTACGTAGGTCCAACGTAACCGCAACCGTACACAGGCCTTAGCCCTCCTTGACTCTACACTGAGGATGACTCAATCTATCATCTGCCATGGTAGTTCTTTAATAAGTTTTAGGGCAGAAAAACATCTTTCACAAGATGCAGTACTGACAGGTATTACAAAAGAGATCTTTGCAAGCCTGAAAAGCTCATGAAACACTTCTTTGAATGGTTCCAAAAAGACAAGGAAGTCCAATAGGGAAAAGAAGTCGCCTAGTTTGATGTACCTCATGCTTAAGGTCCTCTATATCTGACTCAAAGGCTCTGGGATAGTCCATGTTCAAACTGTAAAGCAGCCCCATGAGCATTGCCATGGCTGTGGGGATATCACCAAGATCTGTCAGAGTCACTGCTTCCTTCAGCACGACGGACACATTCAGATGTCTTCAGAAACAGGACCCACTTTGATCCCTTTGTTATTCTCTTGTCATCAGCGGTCTGTAACAAAAAAGAACTACAAATTAAGGGTGCATTCATATAAAAAAAGGACAAAAGTCCAAATATGAGAGTTTGAACCCAAACTGAGCTCACTTGGTGGAGGCAAATTATCTACCTATAAAACTAATTGTGCATGTATGGATGTTTTTACAGAGATTGCTTAAAGCAATATGAGCTGCGATCTGGGAAAACCCATCACATGGTGAAATTTGACCAACTTAAGATTATGATTCCATCTTAAAGCTGCTTTTCAATCATTATCATTATCTGAAGTCAGCGTATTCACATGGTTTTACAAAACAGAATTCTGAGAAAAACATGTTTAAAGATAGACTTTCTAAATAGAATCACCACAATCAAATATAACATGTTACATTTCAATTACTCTGTTATGGCACACACTTATTTTAGTCACTATGTTGTAAAAGATAAAAAGATGTTACTTTGGCACCAATCAAACACACAACACTCAGTAATTAGATGAAAATAAAGAATGTATTTATTCTTTCAACATTCAATGAATTGAATTTGTTTTACGTAACTTTTCCTCTTCGTGTTTTGTGTCTTTCTCTTTATAAGTTACTGAACATTATATATGTGTAAGTAAGTATTATTCTATCAGATTACGCAGTATAAATATCCACAACCACCAAGCATTTTTAATGCAAGGGGAAAATTAGGTACCCAAGCTTTAATTTTGTGAGTTTTGGTTGCGCATCGAAGACACAAGGGAGACCTGGACATGCAACAAGCCGGGGATTGTCTGAACGTGTGTCAATGGTTCTGTCCGCGTATGGTTCTGTTGTGAGATTTCATAACACTTTTAAGCAACTTTTGTTAAAGTTAAACTCATCATTCTATCAATGTGCAGAAGCCAGTACTTTTCCACTACTTGTTTTGACTATCTCTGCTGGCACTGTGGAAGCTGCTGATTGGAGGTCTCCATGCCTCCGCTCTGTATAATACACTTGCATTCTGTTGTTCGTGTTGTTCGTGCTGTCTCTACCATCGACAATAAAACATGTCTTCTGTCTGAATTAAAGACGCGATCCCAGACTTTGTCATCTTCTTCAGGTGGTGGAAGAATGCGGGCCTTGTCTGTAACATCTAGAGAACAGAACCAGGAATACTACAGTAATACTACTACTGCTACTATTGTTACTACAACTACTACTACTCCTAATACTGCTGCTGCTACTACTACTACAGAACTAAAACCAATCATTATAGTGCACATATAATGACATAGAGCTGGGGTACCTGACCTTTCAAACAACTTGAACTTTGCATACAGAATATGGATATATGATTGTTTGTGGGGGGTGTTGCTGCTTAAACTTGTCTCCACATGGACTAGTGGCCAACCATGGAACTGCAGCCTAAATCTGCATGGACTATTAACTATCCAATGTGGTTTTACTGCAAACGGCAAATAAATTCTTGAGTCTTACATGTGAAAGTAAACCCCTCTAGCTTGGTAACCGTTTGTGTCACATTCACCATTTTGGGCTTAAATTTATGTTCTTTTGTCTCTCTGTGATCCTGGTGTTTATATTGTTTTATTGTTTATGTAAATCCAGATATGAGCCACATAAGGATTGACCAATCAGAGGCCTTCATTCGCAGGGAAACTGCAACTTGTATTAGCAACCGTCTTAGCAACCCCCCTTGCAACTGTGAATTGTCTTTGCATTATTGATGATTATTATTTTTTTATTATTATTATTATTAATGAGGCTAGATCCAGGTTTTGATGTTGGTCAGTAAAGTTTAAAAAAGAAGAGCCAACTGAACGATAACTCAGCAAGAAGGTTCAGGGTTCAAATCCACTTCCACACATTAGGGTTGTTCTGTGTGGCGTTTGCATGTTCTCCCTGTGTCTGCCTAGGTTTCTTCCGGTACCACTACTTCTACTACTATTACTAATACTGCTGACACAACTACTATTAATACTACTAATACTGTTACTAGTACTGCTACTACTGCTACTACTACTGCTGTGCAACTGCAACTACTGCTACTTCTGATCCATCCTTGTGTGAAAAAACACATATCACATAAGCAATACAGTGACCTCTGAGTGTGGCTTTAAACACACATATTGATTAGAATTTTGAGCGAAACGTAAAATGGGTTTTAGTTTTTCTTTCATATTTTATCACTAGTGCTATTTTGCTTGTTACACTTTTTAGAAACGCAAAGATTTTGGTCTCGTCCCCTTAAAAAAATACATGTGTTTTGCTGTTTTTAATTATAATATCTTGTATAGATGTACTACCAGCTTTATAGGATGTTATAAAATGATTTGAGAATTGACACTTACCTATAAGAAGTCCAGTCCAATGTGAAACAAAGGCCAATTTCTACAAGCTTGTCTCATGACTTCTGAATCATAACAACATTTGGAAGCTGTTAAATCCTCACAAATGCCAAAAGGTCTCTCAGTCCACGCCTGTTGTTGGATTTGTGTACATTCCCATTGAGAAAGATGTGCAAAAAAATCCCAAAAGTTACGGATTTTCAGAAAAATTTGATAAAAAAGTGCATAAATTCCGTTCCAATGGGTTTTGAATGAGCGCCAGTCCAATCCTTGCTCTGATGATTCTCCAAGTTGAGTTTCTTTCCTTCAGAGTGAGTGACTTTTCCCAGTTTCCCCGCTCAGATCTCCTCGGTTCAGCTCAGGTCAGCACACATGTACAGATCTGGAATAGTGTGAGGTGTAGAGGCTCAGTTTGGACACGTTTGGAGCAGATTTCCGGTTCTCCTCCGTCTCCTCCTCCTTCTCCTTCTACAGCCTCTCTCTCTGTGGGACTGCTCTTTACTGCGTTTGTAAACAGAGCCTGGTCATGTGACAGGGCTGCAGCTCTGTGGCCCTACACTGCAAAAAATGACTTACAAGGTTATGTTTGCGAGGGTTTCGAGGATATTCTGACAGTATTAGAAAGTTGGTTATTTTCAGTCACAGGTCTCTGGTCTCTCTCTGGTCTCTCTCTTGTCTTTCTCTCTGGTCTCTCTTGTCACTCTCTCTCTGGTCTCTCTCTTGTCTCTCTCTCTTGTCTCTCTCTGGTCTCTCTCTCTTGTCTCTCTCTCTTGTCTCTCTCTTGTCTCTCTCTCTTGTCTCTCTCTTGTCTCTCTCGTGTCTCTCTCTTGTCTCTCTCTCTGGTCTCTCTCTTGTCTCTCTCTTGTCTCTCTCTGGTCTCTCTCTTGTCTCTCTCTGGTCACTCTCTGGTCTCTCTCTCTGGTCTCTCTCTTGTCTCTCTCTTGTCTCTCTCTCTGGTCTCTCTCTTGTCTCTCTCTTGTGTCTCTCTCTTGTCTCTCTCTGGTCTCTCTCTTGTCTCTCCCTTGTCCCTCTCTCTGTTCTCTCTCTGGTCTCTCTCTTGTCTCTCTCTTGTGTCTCTCTCTTGTCTCTCTCTGGTCTCTCTCTTGTCTCTCCCTTGTCCCTCTCTCTGTTCTCTCTCTGGTCTCTCTCTTGTCTCTCTCTCTCTTGTCTCTCTCTGGTCTCTCTCTCTTGTCTCTCTCTTGTCTCTCTCTTGTCTCTCTCTCTTGTCTCTCTCTTGTCTCTCTCTCTTGTCTCTCTCGTGTCTCTCTCTTGTCTCTCTCTCTGGTCTCTCTCTTGTCTCTCTGGTCACTCTCTGGTCTCTCTCTTGTCTCTCTCTGGTCTCTCTCTTGTCTCTCTCTGGTCACTCTCTGGTCTCTCTCTCTGGTCTCTCTCTTGTCTCTCTCTTGTCTCTCTCTCTGGTCTCTCTCTTGTCTCTCTCTTGTGTCTCTCTCTTGTCTCTCTCTGGTCTCTCTCTTGTCTCTCTCTTGTGTCTCTCTCTTGTCTCTCTCTGGTCTCTCTCTTGTCTCTCCCTTGTCCCTCTCTCTGTTCTCTCTCTGGTCTCTCTCTCTGGTATCTTTCTGGTCTCTCTCTCTCTGTGAATCCAATCACTAGCAGATATTGATCTGGGAGAACAACAGGACATATTTATATTAACATTTCTTTCCTATAGTGGTATATCCTGCTGAAATACTGAACACACCCTCTTGGATTTAGATGCAGATGTAGCCATAAAGTCTGATTTACAACTTCTGCTCCTACAGACAAATTATGAGTTACTTGTAAGTCAATAGGAGTCAGAGAGAGATTAAGCTAAACTTTGTCCATGAGCACTCTATTGGACTTCTTTGAGCTAGCGGGTAAGCATTGTCCATCCATTTATAGTCTATGAAAAGGACTGCAGAGGCGGGTGCTCTGGGCTAACACACACTTTAGCTGTGAGTAAGTAATTAGTGTGTTCTTTATGAGTTGTTTGTGTATCTATTTGTTTCACTATTGACTGACGCTTTTGTCTTTTGGGACAGAAGTGGTATCCAAACAGCACCATCTAGTGGAGACTCAAAATGCGATGTTCCTTATACCAGTTATTGCTTTGAACCTGATTATTTAAAGTCTATGTTTGAACCACATACAACTTAAATGTCGGTAGAGTAGACTAGGGTTAGATATAAGGCTGGTGGAAAGAGGGCTGTAGAAAAATAACCCTAACCCATTTACACTCACAGCCTACACTCTGGTCTCTCTCTGGACTCTCTCTGGTCTTTCACTATTCTCTTTCTCTGGTCTCTCACCAATATTCTCTTCCTGGTCCCTTTCTCTGGTCTCTCTCTCTAGTCTCTCTAACCAATCTCTCTCTCTATTGTCTCTCTCACTGGTCTCTTTATCTTGTCCCTCTCTCTGGTCCCTCTTTCTCTGGTCTCTCGCTGGATTTTTTGCCTTCAAAAAGTAATACACACTTTTATTAAGATAAGATAAGAAAAGAGTTCCTTTATTCGTCCCACAGTGGTAGCGTACATACAGGGGCGGCACGGTGGCTGAGTGGATAGCACTCTCGCCTCTCAGCAAGAAGGTCCTGGGTTCGAATCCCAGGGCCTTTCTGAGTGAAGTTTGCATGTTCTCCCCGTGTCTGCGTAGGTTTCCTCCGGGTACTCCGGTTTCCCCTACCACTAAAAATATGTCCAATAGTTCTGGTATGTTCTTCCTGTACCCATCTCCCATCTCTGTGTGGAGTGAGAGACAAATGCCCAAAATTAACAATTGTAAACCGCTTTGAGACTCAGATCTGCAGTGAAAAGGCGGTATATAAATAAAAACTTACTTACATACAGGACCGTAGTAAGCGTACACAGGCAGCACACAAAATATACAAAATAAGTAGTAGCTATGTTTCATAGCTTAACTAGATGTAGTAGTGCAGTTATATACTGTACATATAGGGCAGGATAATAAGTAGATAAACAATTCTGAATAAATTCATTAAGAAATATCATACAATCTTTTCCTGTAGCCTATTTTTTTTGGTTTGAAAGTTATGTACCCCAGCTTTATGTCAAAATATAAATCCTCGCGCTGTATAATTATGTTGTTCGCTCAGTGTCCAGCAGGTGTCGCTGTGGCTCCACACGTGTCTCCTCTCCGCGGCTGCAGTTACCAGAGGTGGCGCTGTTTTCTGTTTACGTCCGCGTCACGTTTTTCTCTGTGATGTTTGACCCACTTCTGATCCTGCTGCAGATCCATCAAACCGTGTCCACAAGAGGAGCGTCTATATTTAGAATTAAAGCTGGGCTACCTGACTTTTTAGCTTCATAAATGGCTAGTAAAACTAACATGTTGTGAACAAATCCTTCATCTCAAGTTATTATGTGTGGAAAGAAAGAGATGTGAGTCACTATTTGAGGCCTTTGGGCTGAGAGTGAATTGGCTGAGTGAGGATGGTGTCTGCTTCTATCACTAGCTGTTCATGCATTTTTCATGTATTAGTTTTCCTTTTCAGCCTTTTCAGAAAGAAAAGGCAAAGACCAGAGAGAGAGAGAGAGAGACCAGATAGATACTTGGACAGAACGAAGATACAGACAGAGAGATAGCATAGAGGTACCAAAAAGAAGAGAGACACAGGAGAGAGAGAGACCAGAGAGATACAGAACAGAGAGATAGTAGAGAGGTACCAAAGAGAAGAGAGACACGGGAGAGAGAGAGAGACCAGATACAGACGAGAGATAGTAGAGAGGTACCAAAAAGAAGACACACCAGGAGAGAGAGGAGACCAGAGAGAGACAGACAGAGATATAGTAGAGGTACCAA